TTACATGTCTACGTCATCATTGTACTCGATCTACCTAACAGGGTTAACACAAAGAGCGTGAACACCCCTAATATTTAGGGGTTTGTTAGTTTTCGTTAGGGCTCTTTAATAATAATAATTTTAAAGGGGCGTCGGTGGCCGCAACGGTTTAGGCGTTGACACGGCGCTCAACACTAAAAGGTAAAGGTCCCGGGTTCGAATCCAGCGGCCCTGCATTCGACATACTTACAAATGGGCTTTTTTTTCAAAACCGGCACCCCGAGGGTTGATTATAAGCTCTGCTGTTGCGAATCCTCGTTAAAAAAAAAAAATAATAATAATAATTTTCATTTAATAGTGTCTGGCCTCTGCCTAATCCTTTTGGTTTTCACGGACCCATATTGAGATTGAAGAGTCTATGTAACGTTGTTAACCCAAATATAGTTGTATATATTGGGGCTATGTTAAGGCTATTTTGTATATGCATGGTCTTGCGTTCCTCCTCTGGCCAGTTTGTCTGATTGTTCTTTAACCATTCACCACCCCTATGTGCCCTAGGACCCATAGGTTGTTACGTTTTCCCAGGTTTTGAAGTTTTTCGACCCATTCGCAGATTTGACGCATTATTTTCGATGTGACTCTTTCCATACTAATGTTTTTAGGACTGCTTGACCTTATGAGGATTTTTTGTCAGTGTAACTTCTTTTATGATTTTCACAGAGAACAGCTTGAAAGACCGAGCGTTTTGATTGCCAATATTTTAGGCTTGTATATACCTGATCAGGTTCTTTCTAATTTGGACTCATCTGTATTCCCTATTTTATTTGCGTGTTCCTTCCATAGTTTCGTGGAGTCCTCGGTAATATTGTTTTATGACGTCTTTTACAAGTTGTAGATCCACACCTTTTTGTAATATTGTATTGCATGCACTATGGGACGTCTGGTATTATTTTTAAAAATCCGTTTTTTGTTTGAAATGGATATGTATAGTCCCAAATTGGGTATATCCATGCCATCCATATAAACTGGCCGTTTTATGTGGAGTTAAGTTATTAATTGTTTAATGCGATAACGAAATTTCGTAGAATGGGTTGATGCGGTGGTTTGACCAGGTCTGAATTTCATCAAGCACTATTTGGGTATTTTTCATGTTTCATTTGGATTTTTACTTTAAGAAGAAGCAGTTTTCCCCAAAACAGAAAAACTTCTGCTTCCCTTGATATTTTCCTGAAACCAGTCACTTCAATTTTTCTCCAAATATACAAGTCAGAGTTGTCTGTAAATTTTTAAATTATTTGTTCTTAAATTCAAAACTATCTGTAGGTTTCGTATCCTTTAATAGTCAATCAATAAGAAAAGAAAATGGATTTAAATTTTAATATCAGATGTCTTACTATCAGAAAAATTGTTTCTTTTTGCAAGAAATATATGCACAAACAATTAGTTATAAAATGATTAATAAATAATAATAACAATTTTGAGCTCAGAACAACGCAGAAAAAACACAACCGTTTTCTTAACTTAGAGATTGTTAGAATATTTATTGAAAACATTTTAAAATTTTAAAAATTAGCCTGAAATTTTAATATTTTAAGTTGTTTTTGTAATACAATTTTTTTTGTGAAAAGATTTGTGTCAAATAAGTTGCGCGTTAATTGTGATTCGTTTTTGGAATTAAAGAGTCAAGGGCCTAATGACCGGATCAATGTATACAAGGAAGTACACAGGTGTATTTTTATCGAAGTGATCAATAACAATCCGTGACATGATAAATATTTGTCTGATTTATTGTTGTACGTTTAAAATCATTATCGGACGTTTCTTACGACCGGGAGAAACACTCGATTGCCCGCTTCCTCAAAATTGTTTGCCGAGGCAAAGACCTCTCTCTCTCACTCCTTCCTTCTCTCCGGAAAAATTGCCCAGTCTCATTTCGTCCCCCATTGTTCGGGGATGTTGATTCAGTTTTGTTCTACCTGGAAAAGACAGATGGACCGACGTGGGACATCTCGCCGAAGGGGTAACCGCTGAACAAACATTCCTACACTAAACACCTGCCAGGAGGACTTTATTAATATTTTCTCCCCATGAGACTTTCTTTAACAGGACAAGTCGTGCAAGAAAACCGTTGGGTTGGGCTCGACGGAGCAATTTTTGGGAAGCAACCAATCTAATTTTTGTAGGATTTTCTTCATGATGTCTGCAGGCCTGTAGATTGGTCGCTTCCAATCCTGTTGTTCTGCTTATCCTTTCTGGTTTGACTATTTAGCTTCTGCCAAGATAATAAGGTTTTTTAAGAAACCGCCATTTTATGTTACTGTGAAGATCTAAGTAGGAGGTTTCTACACAAGGGCAAAGAAAACCAACAAATATAACTGAGCCACTATCGAGGCTATAGAAGTTAATAAATGTCTGAACCACCGGGAGCCATACACATACAAAGACTTTTTGATAGACATAGTGTATAATTGTGAATTTGAAAGTAATTTGCCTGTGTCACTGAAAACATGTTCTTCCTACGGCATGACTGGAGGAGTGGAGACACTGACATGACAACCCACCTCTTTAACATTATTATTATGTATATCTAAAGATGAATTTTCCTTACTATGATTACGTTTTACCCGGCTAATCATACACCAGATTTGGAATTGAGAAGTGGAAACTTTTGATTGTTGTTCCAATGTGGGAAAGAATCAAAGCGGATCAAGCTAACTGCCAGTTTCCTTATCCCTCTACGGGGGGGTTGAACCATGTGATTCGACTAATGCAAGTATCAGAGGAAACAGAGCAAGTGATATTCAGGGCGAGTCGGCGGACCGAAGGGAAATCTCTTCCCAAATCACTTCCGGCCCGGTGAACCGATAGACGAACCGACGATTCCAGACCGGCTTGTTTCCCCTTAAAGGTCGGTTTTCGAATGATCCATCGCACCCCTTTGACCTCACGACACCATCCGTCAAAATTCCAATACGTCCCGAAAGCTTACAGGAGAGAGGTCGAACCGACAAACGGCGGAGAACACGAATTCTTACGGTTTAACGACCGTGCATACGTCTTTTTGTCAATCCGTTCCTTTTTTCGTCAACATGACTGGACAGAGCGTGATTACAATTTTTCACCTGAATCTTTCTTTCAACGTGCCATTCTTTACAAACTAATGGGGTTGATCACAAAACCGTCTGTGGTTATTGGCAGTTCGGCCCTATAAAGCCGCTGAGATTTTGAAATTGAGAAGCCACCTGTTAATTTAAAAAACGAGTTGTTTCCATTTGCAGTGGTAGTTTGGGCATATGATATCAGAAATGTAAAATACATCTAAAAGAAATAATGGAAAATACAATATTAAAAGTGTATGGACTAATAGTGTATTTATTGTGCTATCAAATGTACATTCATGTTCCAAATAAACAGTCAGCTTTAACATTTTTTTAAATGACTTTATTTCTGCCTGTTCCCTTTATCAGACTACAGGCATTAGAATTTCCAAGTACTTAATGCAATAGAATACATCGATTAGGTTTCGTGGTCCGATTGACTAAATAAATTCTTTTCAATTAATTAATCTTTAATTAAGGTATTGGTTTAGATACAAAAGTCAGTGTCGCGATCGGAATTCAACCTTCGGCTAAATACACCGCTGCTCTACCACTTGATATATTGTGACTTCAATCTACTCGGACACCAACGGAAAAATGGCAAAAAATGGCTGTTTCTGCGTCTGTTATGGCTTATGTTATGTAATGTGTACTTACACGTTGTGTTTAATCCTTTTGGTAATAGTTTTGTTGGGTTAATGTTAAATTTTGTTTCTATAAGGTTTATGAAAGCACTGTCCGTTGATATTGATGGGTTTGTTTTTACTGAGGTTGGTCAGTCTTTTCTACTTTTCTCTCTCTCTCTCTCTCTCTCTCCTCTCTCCTCTCTCCTCCTCTTTCTCTCTCTCTCTCTCTCTCTCTCTCTCTCTCTCTCTCTCTCTCTCTCTCTCCCTCCCACCCCTCTCTTTTTAGTTATCTTCATACATGACGTTTGCATTCGGTATATTCCACACCGAATAAAAAAGTTCATTCAGTATTCATAGGAAAAACTACTTCTAAAGAAATGCAAGTTCGAGCTATTTTTGTCAAGATGTCTTCTAGGATTTCAAATCAATTTTCAGGGCCACCACACCGATCGAGGGGTAGTTAGCTATTGGATGTAGTAGGTACTCCGTGTTAACATATTGATTGCCCCATTACCCTCCTGTGTGGTCCCTAGATTAAATACACATTAATATGTCCCCGGCAATTGCCCCTACGTTCTGTTTACCATACCACATTTTTTTTTTTTTTTGACGTCGCTGTGGAAAAAAAATTCCGAATTTATTACCTATCAATTCAGTGGCTTGCACTCAGTTTTTCTTTCCAACGCTGTCTTGAGGTGTCTTCTTTCGAGCGTAGTAATACAACATTTTGAAAATATGCTGAGCTATTATTTTACATGTGCAACGTTTTTATTGTGGCTGGTTAAAAGTAAAATTGTTGGCTATTTGTCCATTTCTTCTCACAGTCAGAGACTAGTATGCACCCCATTCTAATGACTATTAATTTAACTTCTGCCGTTAAATTAACACAACATTATTGCAATAATTAGGGCTAGGGTGCCACCACTTTTACATTGTCACTGTAGTTATCACATTACTTCTTGCCAAAGTAGTAGTAAAGTTCTAAACCAATGCAAAAAATAAATAAATACATATATTGTAACTCAAAACAATTTAGCTGTGAATAGTCAAACAGTAAAGCTTATTGAGTCATGATGGACATGATTCGCAAAATGGATGTCAGTTATTTCAGTTTTCAGTTGTTACGTACATAATTTACGTTTGTACAAGGTCTATTTAATACCCTGTATTTCTCCTCAGATGCCCCTAATCCTGTGTAATTATCACACTGGTACTAATGTTACACCAACTGTTCTTACCTATGTAAACATTAAGATGTAATAATCAAAGTGACATGTGCTCAATCATCTGATTTCAGTTTAGTGTATTTTATAAAAATTGGGTAGAAAATTTTTGAATAAGTTGATGGTGAAGACGATCGTGATGACGAGGTAAACGAATTGTGATGAACCGCCAGAGCTCTGTGCTGTACTGTGCAAATCCGGCATGACGTAAATTTGAGCTTTCGACAACCACTCCTTATGATCGGCCAAGCTTTCAAAGATGACTATCCCTTTTTTAGAAATGCCGCATTCGTCAACACCCTCGAAAACCAGCCTCGATAGGATTCCTATTAATCGATTCGCGCAGATCAAGGGTCCCCCGGAGTCGCCGCTGCAAGGCACCACTGTGCCGGACATAAAAGAGCAGAAGTGCACGGATAGTTTACCGCAACCACTACCAGAAACTGGACGGATGATGCCCTTGTGGAGGATGATCGGCGATTTACGGTCTTTGTCGTACATCCCGAAGAGGAAAATTTCGCATGTCTTCACGTCGTGGACGCCACCGCCCAGATTCCTGAAGTAATTAGTAAAATTCGCATCCGCCCTCACCAGCGCTATGTCGTTCTTGTCCTGATGACCGAAGCCTGGGTGGAATATGATTTCCTTAGTTTTGCTGATTTTGAAAGTATTCAGTTTTACTTGCCGAGCGAGCGAGACGTCGCGATGATCGACGTAACGCCCGTCAATGCCAGTGAAACAATGGGCACAAGACAACACGACGTCCTCCTTGATGGCTACACCCGTGCACCTCTTATTCGTTCCATCGTCGTCTATCAAAGTTAATATCAACAATACGAACTGAAGCGCTAGACCGTCTTCGACCACCTCTCCAAGATGCATATCTGTATAAAATTTTCCAAATAAAATCTTACAAGTAACAAATAAATAACATATGAAAAAAACAAATTGGATTTATTTCTAAATAGGTTTATTAATCACTATATAACATGCTATCGATTGTAGAAAGCAAACCTCACCCTAAATGTGTGTTAATTTTTGACATGTCTATGTTTTTGGGGTGAATGCACTTGTTTTTGCGTCATAGATTCCACATTTGGTTAGGTTAGAAATGGTTAGGATTAGGTAAGGAATGATTTAAGGAAGGGTTTGGTTAGAGCTAGGTGAGGATCGGGGTTAAGTTTAGGTAAGGATAGGCTAAGGGATGAGTTAGGCTGGAAAAATTGACGTAGAGCAAGCATATCAATTCACTTTCCTTTCCAACCAGGGACGGGTTATGTTAGATTAGGTTAGATTTTTGTGAAAACATCGGGCAAGAAATAACGTTTTTTTCGGCGGGAAATTAAATCTCCAGTATTCTTTATTTTGTTTTACAGGAAAAAAATCCTTACTCTGGGGTGTTTGTCAATGTCTAAACAGTACACATATTGGTTTGCGTCTGTCAAAAATACATTTTCTGATTGCTTTTGGTTTGCTTTCTTAAAAATGACGTCCAGCCCTAACGAATAAAAGAGACGTAATTAATTACATTTCTATTATTGAAGTTTTCAAGTGCGCCTTTTTTTGGAGGGGGTCGTTTTGCCTAGTTATATACCCAGGTTAAGTGTGACAAATAAGGGGGTTGACCATTGGTAAATTATGCTTTATTATGCTCGAACCACCAACCTTAATTAAGCAAAAATCGCAATCGTGGAACATATGTTTTTAAAAAAATATTCATATGTTTGTAATAATTTGTAATAAGTTAGATAAAGCGAATATGTATGAAGGCACGGTTGTCACGAACGCTTCCCATTTCCCATATGCGTTGCTCCTCATATCTCACGTAGGCAATATGACGTACAAAGAATGCACGGCCGTCGCGATTGAAATCAACTTGGCCGTAACTGCAGCGCATTGCTTCCTCGAGAGCGACAAGAACGCGGTCAGCTTCTCGACGGACAAAGTGCTGCTCAGCTCGTTTCTCCGCGAAGGCGATTTCAGGGATCACGAGGTGACCGGCGTCTACTTCCACCCACTACACATGCTGTTGGAGAACGATATCGCCCTTATAAAAACGAACGGGACGCTGAGCCTGACTCTGCCGCTCCTCCCGCGCATGCCCTTTCTGGGGACGGACACATGTACGATCATCGGCTTCGGACCGACCAAGAAAGAAGAGAAAACGGGGCTACGCGCTCCTTCCGTCCTAGGTGTGGCTCCTCTTCCGCAGAACTACTGTAAGAGCCTGCAGAATTACAAGACGTCGTTGATCTGCGTGCCACTCGGGGACGGCCTCGGCCCTTGCCACGGCGATTCGGGCGGTCCTCTCATCTGCTCCGGGACGGTGGTGGGCGTCCTTTCCAGGGGACTCGTTTGGGGCGAGGTTGGATGCGGGAAGCCTCTCTACAGCATCCTCTTCTTCGAAGACTTATTCTATCACAGGACGTGGATCGAAGGCTACGCCGACCGCCGCAAACCGTCTAGCCTCTCTCATAAGATATTCGACGAACAAACATTTATACTTTACATACTCATTGTCGTTTATTGCATCATTAAAATTGTTATCACTTAATTGTTTTTTGATCATATGATGGCAGCTTAGCAAAGCTTTTAAAATCTATACGTCAAACATTTATATTTTCTAAAGTTATCAATAACATTTTGTGTGAGTGTGCTATCACTGTTAGGATCAAACATCTACAATTACTTTGTTTTCTTCTCTCTTCTTCTTTCGTCTATTCTTCACCTTTTCTTATATTGTACTAGTTATCCTATAAGTTTGCTAATTTAGCAATATTTGTGCAAAAATTATTTCATTTAAATGTGCATTTTTAATTATTGAGTCTGCGTCCCCTCACCATGTTTTTATCGTAGGAACCACCAGAATCATTAAGCTAAAGGCTCTCGAATCTACAAAGCGCACAGCAGATTAATTTTTTTTAGATGAAACTTTCTCTTTAAATTATCGATAAGCTGTAAATTCAAAAGTGTAAGTGACTCTATCCATCGGCATTGAATCGGGCCAGAATGTGGGAGGAAATTAGTTGATCATTGTTCAAATTGCGTAATTCTTTATTGTTTACAAAGTGGCCGATTGATATTCCTACGTCGGCTGAGTGATTCAAGCGAGGCCGTGTTCTTAAATGGAGAAAAGCGTTTTTCCTATCCCTTTTGGTACAAAGCAGCAATTATTTTTCCATACATTAAGGCCGTATTCTAATTAGAAACGTTTTGGGAATTAACATCTGAAAAGATATTTCATCCCCTTTACGTTCGTTTCTCGGGGTCATGGGGGTAAATTGATTTATTGGGTGGTCGTACGTTTTGTGAATAATGACGTTAGAATCGGATTTATGGACTGCATTGTGAGCCGACAGCACGTGGTCGCAGTGCACCTGGGTCAAATTGACCCCTGGTGATTTTCCGGCCGGCACCTCTGCACTGATAAAGACATCTGTCCGACCGCAGTTGCACAGTCGGACAGCCGTTCCAAGCTCTTGGACTTTTTCTTGGCACTTCTCTAGAAACATAAGCTAGGTAATTGTTCTCAAAAGGTTTACAGGTTTTCTTGGATTCATGTAGCAAACGTGTCGGTGGTTAAATGTAAGCAATTTGTGTGGAAAATATTGTTTTGAGTGAGATCGCAATGTCCTATAATGAATGCAGCAACAAGAATTCATGAATAAAGCAAGGCGGAGATCTTTGGTGGATTGTATAGAAACATGAAGGATCATTCATGCATTTATGTTCACTAACATTCCTGTACTATTTGGTCAATCCTGCTAGTAAACTAATCTCGCAAAGCATGTTATTTACCATTATTTTACCTTATGACTCCATAAAACACATGTTATTTATTCTTTTATTTTTCATTAGTTATTAACAATGCAAGTGACTAATGCCAGCCAGAAAAGCGAAAATAAACGAAGGCGTGTGAAAAACTGAAGGTGAGTCGACGCCGTTCGTAAGCATCTCCCCGGAAAAGACATCAAGGCTTTTTATCCAGTTCAAGTGTATAAAAAGATCTTCGTAGAAGAGTACGCTGTAAACGGCGTTCCCGCATCCTTCGTATCCCCATATCAGCCCTCGGGAGAGCAAGCCTACGACGACACCATTGCAGATAAGAGGCCCCCCGGAGTCACCGTGGCATGGACTCTGGTTCGTCTCTATGATCACGCAGATGAGGTCGTTTTCATACTGGTTGATAGACCTGCAGTTGACGTCGGTCAGCGGCTTCACCACTAGGTAGGAGAGCATGATCTGTTCGCTGTACGATTTCAGGTGGGCTCCGTATCCGACAATAATGCAGGACAAATCGCCTTGAAACTTTTTGCTGGGGAGGCGCGGCACGTTGACGTGAAACTCGCCAAACACCTGCAGTCCGGCGATGTCGTTTTCCCTGAAAGGTTTGTACATGGGGTTGAAGAACGCCCTGGCCACGTTGTAAGTGACGAACTTGCCTTCCTTGTCCAGCGAGCTCATCTTCACCTTGTGCGGCGAGAACGCGTGCTTGTCGACATCGCTTTCTATGAAACAATGGGCCGCCGTTATCGCCAGGTTGGTAGTGACGGCAATGCCCGAACACATTTTGAACCTCACCTCGACCAGCTGGGTTACTATCAGCATCACATAGCTATAATCGATGTTCCTTAATATACCGGATGCGTTGTACATTTTTCACTGGCCGAATTCAAGCTTTTCGAAATCGTGTAAGGCTCATTAATCAAGTGAACAGTATAAAAAATAAATTACATAAAAATCAATAAATGTTTTGTCATATGACAGTACAAAATATAACCAGTCACATGTGTAAGAAACAATAATTATTTGGAACCTTTTTTTACTTCATTTATTTCTACGGATTCTATTATTACAACTGTACAGGTATTATATACACCCAGCGATTAGATTTCAATTTATGTTTGTGGCATTACGAGCGTTATAGACAAAGCTACCCAATTTAAAAGGTCTCTTATCCATGTTCTATTCATACTAATAATAATTGTGGTGAATGTAGTGTGTGTCAAATGTATGTTTGCGTTATTGTTTACGTAAAAAGGGGCAGAAACAATTAGTCTCAAACTTTTGGATTGAAAACTTTGTAATCTTTGAATATTGGACTGTTTGGCCGATCCATAAGCTTGGCACCCGTACATCCAAATAGGTTTGACTAGGTATGTGCATCTCGTAAGTTTTGATTTTAATGGTAATTTTGATTGTCGGTTGAGAAGGTAATAAAGCATTTTAAATCGTTTGTTGAGTGTCTGTTTTTTAATCGTTTATGTCGATTCCAAATTATTCTTCTATCAAATGTAAGCCCTAAATAGTCAGCTTTGTCGGATTGAGGAACAGGTTCATTGTATAAGACTAAGCTAAGACAAGTCTCACGACATAGTGTAAAGGTGTTGTGACTCAGAGGGTTAAACTTTATTTTCCAAAGATTGCTCCATTTTCCAATTGTTGATATGTGGTTTTGTAACATAAGTGAAGCTTGTGTAGAAAAGGGATGACTTGTTAATATGCCGTCATCTGCGTATGTGGCAGTAAGTGCATTCTCATTTGTGGGCATATCAGAAGTAAAAATTGTGTACAACAGCGGAGCAAGTGTTGACCCTTGTGGCATACCCGCAAGCACTTCTTCCATCTCAGTAGTCTCCGTACTCTGGTTTACTGCGAAATATCTCTTCTTCTATGATTGTATCATCAGATAACAAGCCTGGGGTAAAACTAATTTTAATGTGTGGTGATTAGTGACCATTAATCGATAATTATTCAGAAATCGTGAGATGCGGTCTGGTGTTGTAGGTTTCAGAAAAACATTTTCTTTATCGTGCCAATGTTTCGATCTTTATTGAGATCATCTTCAGGGCTCAAAGTGTTTGTCTTCTGTGTAATTGTGCTATACTTGCGTGTCGTGTTGAGAGTGCCCTAATTTTAATTTGTATAATATCCCTCATGTCATACTTTGTTGCCTGAGAAACATCTAGAAACACTCACTCCAGTTGCGTACAGTTACTGCTGTAACTCTGTGAAGTTGATAAGTAGTGGAATGATCCCATCGCTAACCATATGGAACTTTCCTTAACTTCACAGAATGCGCTGTCGAAATTTCAGCTCTTTAGATCGAGCAGTTTGTCTGTGTGTTGTTACACATTACTTGAACATTAATAATGTCCGAATGAAAGAAAATCCCTACCCTCTTTATTCTTGTTATTATTATACATGTAATAATGCCTAATATGTTACATACTATCTAACTATATATTAAATTGCTCACTGATTAGGTTAATAAATCAATGGAAGCAGTAAGATTAAAATCTCTGGCCTACCCATATCGCTGTTATTTTGCAATTAAGTGCGACACTTAAAAAATATATTTTTCACTGTTGTTTTTGCCCGATTCGACCTAAGGAAATTGAAAAAGGTGAAAAACCTCTGGGCCTCATAGCGGATCTTGGGCCGGTATGAAAGTCGGCTTTCCAAAATCTGAGATAAATTCCTAACAAGGACTGCTGGGAGTTGTTAATAGGTTTGAGATCATATCTTCGTCGTAAATCGTGAAAGCACTCGGCCGGCTTTGTGACGAAAGCCCGTCAATTAGCGACTTCGTGACGAGGCCTTCCTTATCTGCATGAACTGGAAAATATGAAACGGAGAGCCAATTCCGCCCTTTTTCTCACAATAAGTGCAACACGCTCGTTCCGGAATTTTTTTTATGTCAGGACAAGCTATAAAACTGCTAATACAGACGATAATGCGACTACCGAAGTGTATCATTACATATTACAATAATAAAAGTCCCCGTTGGGTTTCGCGGACGAGAGGTCAAACCAATTTTCAACGCAGTTTTCATACTATAATCAGCTAAAACGCCATGTCCTATGCCGGGATTCGAACCTAGAACCGCTAACATGGCAATAAGAGTCGGACGCCCTAACCAACCACTCGGCCATAGCGGTCTCTAAATTTTATTTGTATGTTAAAATATATAAATTTAATTCTTGTTTTTTGCGGCATTTTTCACCTTGTGTAGGACCAGAAGATTTGCGAAATTTTTTAGGAGAAAATTGTGCTTTGCCTAAGAAAAAACGAAACCAGAAGTACCACCTTTATTATTGAGAAACAAACCCGGGCCAAGAGAAACTCTTTTGTTTCATTTTGAGTATAGAAAAACACCCCTGAAGTATGTCAGGAATATATGATATTTTGGATTTATTGTAATTTGAACGTAAATAAGAAAATTCCAGAATATAATTGGGACCTATAATTACAGCCTATTTTTTACAATTGATTTTGCAAATAAGGAAGCTAAAAACATGTATTTTCATGAAACCCACATCCGGCACCATGAAATTTCATGCATTGATTTTTTTTCGAACTGGTTTCTCTTTTAGTACCGATTGAAAACTTCTAATATCTTTCCTAGACATCTCCTCGAGTCATAATCTTCTCCACAAACTAATTAGTTTTATGAAAAATGGGCATTTCAATCGTGACGAAAGTTTTGCAAATTGCTGTTTCAATAAGATTTTCCCTTCTGTCCCTTCATCCTATCCCATCCTCCTAAAATATTTTATGTAGTAGCATCAACATATAGCCGTTGGATTTTATACTAATAACTTCGTGACAAAACAATTTAAACAGACTGCTAATTGTGTGATGATCGACTAGTTTAAAATTGCAACTTCATGTCAAATAACAGATAATCGATAAAAGATCAATAAGGATGTGGAATTGTGGCTATCAATCGTTTTTGTCATTGTTCTATCTTTATAAACTTTTTTTAACTTTTCCATAAAATTTATCCATATATTTCTATATATTAAAGTGATAACAATTTTTAAATTTGGCGATAAACATGCTATCACTAACTACAGACCACATTGGAACGTTTATCCCCAAACTCTTTGAAAAACTAGTTCTCTAAACAAAACATTAATTCTATACAATTATTATTCCCTTTCACTATGATTTTCTACGAGTAGAGCATACTGACAAGTCAGTCATTTCCCAAATCATTCAACTCCAACTGTGTCCATTCCATTATTGATTTTTAAATTTGTACGGTATTTTTGGTACTTACTGGTATGGGTCGAAAACTAATTAAGTAATCGAACATTATCTGCTAAAATTAAATTCAATTATTCTTATCAATTCACTGCACGCACTGGTGTCTTCTAAGGTTCACATCCTGGTCATATTCTCTTTTTTATTGTTCATAAATATTGTAGTCTTTGGATGTCTTAGGAAGGTTTTCAATTCCTGCTATTTGCAGATGGCCTATGTGTAAAACTATCTCATATTGAGGATAATCGATGCTTACTAAACAATTTGGAAAATCTTCACTCTTGGAGCAAATTGAATCTGTTAATTAACTTGTCGAAATCTACCATATACTTCCAGACCACCTCACCGTTAATAGTTCAACATAGAATCCGAATCCGATAGCCACAATTAGGCAATGAGATTAACGCTATTACAAGGTATTAAGGGTATTTCGACCCACAACTAAAATTCCCATCGCATCTCAACATGGTATCTTTCAATACTCTTCGAAATATCGGTTTCCTTCTTAGAAATGGTGTATACTTCAATAATTCAACTATAAAATTTTACTGCATTATGCACTGAGCCTTAGAATCGGCTCTCATTTATCACCGATTTGATCACAACATAACACCATATATAGAGAATTTCTAGAGGTTGGTAGAAAAAAGTTTGTTGTAAGAAAGATGTAACCGCTTTTTGTATTTCTGCTTCAATCCCAGTCGTGTTAGTTTTATGTTGCTCCGTAAATTTCATGTATCTGCCAGAGCCTCTAACAAGGAGTAAAAATGTATTTTGTATTATCTGAAGTTCCAAATTTGACTGGCACATGTAATCCAAGAGAGACAGCCGTATATTAATCTGGGTTTGACGATCACTTTATAAATCATGAGTTTGTTCCGATTGGTCACAACAGTTTCCTTTATAAGCAATGGGAAAAGCGCTCTGTACCGTTTTATTTTTATCCTCAAGGATTTATGTATAATCTCTGAAATTCAATTTCTCATCTAATTTTATTCCTAGGTTCTGTTTCGATCAATTGTGGGAAGTGAAGGGCCTGGGTTTGTCAAGTGAATGCAGTTTATTTCAGGCATGTTGATTTTCAACTTTCGTCTGAAACAGAAGTGCATCGTTCACAAGAGTTACTCATTTAGATTTCTGGCTATCGTACTGATCCTTCAAGAGGAGCAGTAGAGAACTATGTTTTGGCAAAGTGTCTAATAAATGAAGAACAATGTGCAATCCGGTATTGAGCTTTGTGAAGCACCTATTGTAATATTGAAGGATGATGAGAGAGAAGTGCGCAATAAAATAAACAAAGCAAAACAAATTACGCATGATACTAAGAACACTTTAAAATTATAAATAATTGCACCTAAGCTTTATTTGATTTATAAAATTATATTAAATTTCAAGCAAAATAGAATTGCCTAGCCAAATAGAAGAAATTGGTTTCATGGAAATAGAAAGTTTGGTTCAGACATCCTGAAAACATGCATTTGTTTTAAATCTAATCATTTCTCGATTATTACAAAACAAACGCAAAAAAGACGAACTTCATTTTCTCGTATTATGTTTACTCAATTCGTCGTATAAGAAGATGAAGAATATAGATGTGAATAAATTTTAGCCTGGCGCTTTGGGCCTCCTTGTATGATGAAATGTAGCATAATTTGTGTCACAATGAATTCATAAATGAAGATTTAAATAGCATAAAACCAAATAAAACGTACGAAATTAAATAAGAATGGG